GTAAAACTAGCTTTTAGTTTGAAACGAAAACCCAAAGATTATATCCTCCAAAAGAAATTATCAATCTCAATTCCTTGTATTCATTTTAAAAGAGAAAAATAGTAATCTCTTTCCAGAGAACCAAAAAGCAAGGTCTTTCAGGACTTACATGAACAAAAAAATTATTATAAACTGATGTTATTTCTTTCATAGAAAATTCCATTTGTAAGTGAGTTTTTAAAAATAATTTCATGGATATATAATCAATTAGAAAAGGAAGAGATACAAGGCCTTGTATGGGTTTCAAATAGGCAAAATCCAAGCTTGTAATTGTCCAACTACCATAAATATGTTTTAGACCATGAAGCAAAATCCACACTAGGGTCGATCAAATAAGTTAGTTTAATTTTAATTAAATAATAGAAACAATAGGTAACAATAATAGATAAACTAAAATTTAAAAAATAACCATGATAATCTAGAAAAAAAATATTTTTTTTCAAAAGAGACAAAAAACATAGCTCAATTCTCAGCCTATTAAATATATAATAAAAATATTTTGTAAAACAAGACAAAGAAACTAACTTGATTCAACCTAAGTTAGCATGACAAATTTGCAACTCGATAATAAAGATCGATTCAACTTAAGTTAACCCGTTAAACTTGTGGCTCAGGTTATGAGATCTAAATAAGTCAATAAAAAAAATCACAAAACTCATTTTTTGTAAAAAAAAATCAACTCATGTTATTTTTTTAAATTTGTGGTCATAGTCATTAAACCAAAATCATCATATCTAGAAAAATAAATAAATAAATCAATTTTCAACCAATCAAATATTGAATTATAAAACTAAAAAAAAAATTCAATTATATAAAAAAATAGTAATTAAAAGAATAAGATCCAAAATTGAAGTAAAAAAAAATTATTTTTTATTAAAGAATGAAATTAAAAATAAAAACTAATTTAACAAAAGGACCTAAACAAAAAAAAATCTAAAGAAAAAGGACTAAATTGAAAAATATAACATATCACAAATTGAGATTAAATGATGAAATTGATAAGAAATCAAAATCTTACAAAAAGATCAAGAACAAAAAATAAAAATTAAAAGATTAGGAACCAAATCTTACATTTTAATAAATAAGAAAATAACTTTACAGTTTTGCATGCATGACATGATTTTTGAGTTAATAAAAGAGAAAAGTGGGAGGAAAAAAAAGTCTTTGGGCTCACATTGCCACCCTAACACCCCCACACATTGTCCCAAAAGGAAGAGGACGCCATATAGGTTCTAATAACACCATTCAGAGGGTGCATGCATTTCCCACACGCTAACACGAGCATGGCACGCGACAACTTTTTTTTTTTAATTTTAAATATTATTTTATATTTAGTAAAATATCAGATCTACCTTTATTTAATATTATAATAATAATATAAAAACTATTGTGAAAAATACCAAAACACCCTTGGGTGCTAGTTTATAATTTTTTTCTTCTGATAATTTTTTGGTCATTTCATTATGCTTTTAAAATATATAAGGAATTGTTTGTGTCTTATCAATCTAGTAATAACTAATGATCCTTATGAAAAGATTTTAATGCCCCTAAATAGCCAATTAAATAATTTTTTTACGAGAATAGCAAAATCATCATGACATTGTTATAGTTAGCAGTGCCTATAAGTTTGCTTGAACAATGTTTTTTCTCATAATATTAGTGTTTTTTGATTACTAGATAGGTGGTTCGCGCTATACTGCGGGTCATCTTAAATGTTTTTCATAGTAAAAAACACATTCCTAAAAAGAAAAGAAAAATCAAGAGCTAAACCATTTACTTGACTTGGTTTAATCATCTTGTAGAACTTGAATAATATGAAAAAAAATATAACTACAACAAAAGAATTAACAAAAAACTAGCAAAGAAAAAAAGGTGAAAAAAATTGACCCGGACCCATCTTGATTAGCATGCCATATTTGTGATATGGTCATAATATCAGGGTGATTAAATCCAATCAAACAACCCAATATTGAAAGACAAAACTAAAAAAAAAATTATTTTTTAAAAAGCAATAAAGAAAAAAAGGTCTAACTCAACCTAGGTTAAGTTGTTGACCTCACGACCATAGCTATAGAATTGGAATAACTTTGTAGAAAGAAAAGCAAAAACAATAAAATTATAAAAATTAATTCTCAATAAATCAAACATTGAAGAATAAGATTGGAAAAAAAATTAAATTTAATAAAAAAAACTAAAACAAGACTGAGGTTAACCCATGTTAATATTCAAAATCTATAACCCTGAACATGAGTACAATACTAACTTTATAAAAGACAAATTCTTAAAAATAACAAAGTAAAATTCTCAATTACAAAATAATGATGGATGAAATTACAAAAAAAAAAACTAACAAAAAATGATAAAAATAAAACAAATAGCAATAAAAAGAAAATGGACCAAATTTGACATAAAAACAAATTAAAATCAAATATTGAGGGATAAAATTAAAAACAACATTCAATTAGGGAAAGGATAATAAATAAAAATTAAAAAAATTAGGAACTAATTCTTTATAAAAATTAAATAAAATTAAATAATAAAGAAAAAAATTATAGAAAAAAATAATTTACAAAAGATAAAATAAAAAAATAGTAATAAAAAATAAGAGCTAAATTGTTTACAAAAACAAATAATTTTTTTTTTTTATCAAGGAGAAGAGAGTTAAAAGGTCAAGGGGAAGAAAAAAATCCATTAAAGCTATATCACTAATCTACTATTAACATATGTCTTATCATTGAAAAGACATTTATATTTTGCTTTTAACATTATCGTTAAAGATTATATTTAACTTTTAAAAAAGTTTATACATGTCATCTAAAAGGTGTGAGCTTGGCACACCCACTAACATATATATTGTATACACTAATTATTGTTTTTTTTTTTGTAAATAAATTTATATATATAAAAATATTGAAGTGTGCTTGAATCTATTTAATAATTAAAAAAATATAATAAAATAATTAAAATACCTCTAGATGTAGATACAACATGAGAAATTAAAATTTCAAAGTTGGTTAAATAATTAAAAAAAAGGTGAAAAAACCCCTTACCCTATTTTAAATGAAAATTAACAATTTCATCATGCAGTAAAGTATTAAAGGACAAATTTATTCTCATTTAATTTGATAATATTAATTAGACTTCGTAAAAATAACAGTTTGCCCTTCAATTTATACTTCCTTGACTTACATTGTAGAAGATAAAAACACCATTACAATATAACAACTTATCCTGCAATAAATCTTCCTCCACAATATAATATTTTATGGATAATATTTATTTATTTATTTATTATTATCGTCGTCATTGCTCTTATTATTATCAAGTCTAGTTTTTTATGGACATTATATTTCCTTGATAAAAGTGGAGAGAGGCGAGCTGGCCCACAAGTGATTTCATGGCTGGAGCATTCAATTGAGGTTCATGAACCTAGCAAATGAATGGTGTACGAATTGTACCCTTCATTGAAATTAAAGTTGGTCCCCTTCATCTTATCGCTGCTCATGCATTCTTATCCAAACTTCAAAAATAAAATAAAACAAAATAATGATTCAGCACAATCACTTTTCTATTATAATCTTGAGATGCTTGCATAATAAATTAAGTTTAAAGTCAATATTTAATAACTTGTTAAATTCTTTTAAATACGATCAAAGCTTAATTCAAATTAATACTTCTATATTTTTTTAGATTAACGTGGATATCTAGACCAGTTTATACGTACTATGACTAATCTCATAGGTCTTGAAATTAACGACCATGTAAGTTTTCAGTGACCATAATATAAATAATTAAAAACTCGAACCTGAGATCACAGACGAAGCAAACCCTTTCATCCTAAACCCTTATCACTTGACTATCACCTAGATAGTTATAATATTTACATATTTGTTTGAGGGTGTAGTAGTTTTTGTTTAATAATTTTTTAAAAAAATATTTTTATTTTAAAAAAATATCAAATTAATATTTTTTTAATATTTTAATATTAAAAATGATATGTTTAATATAATTTAAAATCCAAAACATTTTTCAAAAAGCTAAACATGTTATTATATTGCACGAACAACTAGGAGAAATAACCAATCAGTTGTTGTCTTCTCGTTAGATATCCTAATTGCCCCTTATACCCTCCCCGGGCAACAATAAATTCTAATTAATTAAAACATTAATCTAACACTTCATTTCATTTTATAAAAACATAAATAAACAGTGAGGGCTCCTATTGGCACACCGATAGGCCTAATTTAACCATAAAGAAAATGGGAATTAATTTTTTTTTTCTTTCTCCTTTTTATCTCTTTATTTTGGCTATTTATTATCATATTTTTTAAAAAATATTGGTAAAATGACATGGATAACTTTTTTTTAATAAAACAACACAATTTATACATATTTCTCACATTTGAAAAACATGATATTTATAACTATAAAATAAATATAAAAAATTAAATGAAAATAGTATTATAATTAATTATTATACTATTTCCTCTCTCTTACTCATTTAATAATTTTTATGAGACAGCGACAGGTTATAAATATTACAAAGGATGACTTCTATAAATTGTAGTATTTTGTCTAAAGATTTTTCGATCGTGCTTTTCAGGCAATACTTTTAATTTACTCTGATTTATTTGGGGATAGCGTTCTTAGGTGAGCGTCGTAAAGTGAGGGTTATTATAGGTATTTCGTGACATTAAAACAAGGAAACTAGTCCGCACGCTGACGCGGTCCTTAGTGACATGGGAAATTGACATCACGTACCAATCGTCAGCATCTAAAATGTCATATCCCACGCGCTACTTGGTGACGTGTTGAAAGACAAGCAAATAATCCAGCAAAATTCAATTAGATTCCTCGTAGTTTACTCCATCGAAGCGCGTGATTTACAAACAGCGCCCGGGATTGTAAATCAAAATTTTGTGGAATTTTCTTGCAAGGTTCCTTCAGCTTTCCTCGCATATGCCGAGAAAAATGCAATGCAGTCCCTCCATCTTAAAAGGATCCCTTGGACTCCAATTGTGGTCACTACTTAGCCCTAGGTCACACTAAAGAGAGCTCTCGAGGGTCTACATGCTCCAATCTTGGCCTCTACTTAGCCCTAGTTGAGATACCAGAGAGAGCACCCAAACCCCAGAAAATGGATTCTTCTTGGCACGGGAATTTGCCAGCAAAAAGAAAGAAGGCGATAGATGAGCTAGTTAGAGGTCAAGAAATTGCAGCACAACTTAAACTTGTAATGAACAAGTCTGTTGGGGTTGATGAGTCTCTGTTTGCTGAGGATCTTGTCAAGAAAATCATGAATTCTTTCAATAGTTCTCTTTATTTATTAAATGGGGGTGAGTTTGATGAGGTTGCCTCCCAAATTCCGCAAGTGGGTTCACCTTGTTGGGATGGCCGGAAGTCGTCGAAGGATTCCGGGGAGAGTGGCAAGGGTACTGCCGGGTTGAAGGTGAAGGACAGGAGAGGATGTTACAAGAGAAGGTAATTAATTAATTTCAAACAATTAATATGCTGCTGATTATTGATAAAAACCGCATTAATAATATTACTTTTCATTTACAATTCCACCAGCCAAGTAGAGCTTGTTGAAACACCGTTAAGGAGTAGGGATCCATAGTTAAACGATAATCTAGCCTCTCATCTGAGTCTACAGAATCTCCGATTTGGATTCTTCTTTTCCGACTTTATATTTTTTTTTAAACAAAATTAGAATCAAACTAAGGATGATCTTATTTTTCTTTTTGTTAAGAACAATTTAGATGCCTGTATATTATTTTTCATTAATCTCTTTACCTAAAGGTCATGACGGATGTGGATGGGGTAAATTTCCCCATATGTGTTGCTTGTAATTATATTTTCTTTTAGACTCAGGCCCCATTCCTCATGCTTGAAAAAAAAGAAAGAAGAAACCAACAAAGAACTTACAAGTTGCTAGCTAGGACATCAAGAAACAAGAAGGTATCTTTGCTTTGAGTGGACAGTGTTTTTGGCCCCCTCCTTGGCAAGCTCGAAAATTAATTCACTAAATATCATGGTTGGATATTGCTGGTTTTTTCATGTTTATTCTTAGTATAAAGGTACTTGTAAAATTATTTTCACTTGATGATGTTATAACTTGATTATAAGAATAAATAATATCAAAACTAAAATTAACATCTGAATTATGATTAATTAGTGCATTTTTCTGGCAATTGTTTTCCTTTTATTTCATCCTAATTACCCTAAAATTGAATTTTATTACTTGCAGAAAGAGTTCCCACTCAAGAACAGATGACTCCACTACTCTAACCGATGATGGCCATGCATGGAGAAAATATGGACAGAAAGTGATCCTCAATACTAAATATCCAAGGTATAGATATATAAAATTAATTTCAACACTGAATTTCAAACATGATTAACCAGTCCATATTTTAATTCTTATCTCTTAATCATCAAATTTCTAGGAAAACCTAGTTAATGATCGAACAATCAATGAAATCAATATTGCTGCTGTGCCCTGCAGGAACTACTTCAGGTGCACTCACAAGTATGATCAACATTGTCAAGCAATCAAGCAAGTGCAAAGAATTCAAGAAGAACCTCCTCTATACCGGACAACATATTATGGGCATCACACGTGCAAGAATTTGCTAAAAGCTTCTCAGTATGTCTTGGATCCAAGTGATCACCACGACATAGATTCCTCGATACTGATAAGCTTTAACAGCAATGGTGATCACCCTTCAAGCAAACCAAGCAACTCCCTCCCCACATCCTTCCAAACAGTAAAACAAGAATGTTGCCACAAGGATGATAACATGAACATACCAAGTTATGATCCAACCACCCACTATAGTAATCAAGCATCATCTGATTATCTCTTGTCACCTGATAATTATATGTCTGCATTTGATCACGGCGATGTGATTTCTGGGGTCAACTCATCTTGCACAACGAGCTCACACAGTTTGGACATGGATGGTATCATGATGGAATCTGCTGATTTCGATGATGATGGTGTTTTCGGATTTTAACCTTGATAGATAATTATTTTCACGACATTAGATATTGCAGCTTCTTTGTAATTTCCGCCTGGTGATCAAGAATGTCCTGGTTATTTTCTTTGAAAAGTGTTAGAAGCTGCCTAGCTAGGTACGTAGCTAGGTTAGCACAATGTAGAAACTAGGTGTGTCTCTTTCTTTTTTTGCTTTTGGACTGTGTACTTAATTTGCTTATAAATTAAGGAAATAATCGAGGTGCAGTACTTTCCAGTCTCTATCAGTTGCATTTCCAGGTAGAGAGAAAATCCAATGCTCTTGATCTTGCATGGAAATTCAATGTATGACCACATACAGCACTAGTTGGTGCTTCTGCACATTATTAGCTAGCAAGCATGGATGAATGGACATATAAGGCGAATGACTTTTACAAGAAGCAAGAAGAACCTGATATTCTAGTCATTACCATAATTATATCAATACGAATTGATTAATTTAATAATCTAATTTAAATAAAAAACAATAACATAAAACAAATTACAAATAGTAAAAAACCACCTACAAGTAATAAATAAAAAATAAGCTATAAATATCTTACTTCAAAGAGAGCTATAAATATCTTACTTTAAAGAGAAAAAAGAAAAGATTGTTTGAGGCTTGTCATTACTTTATTGAAGATATCAAAAAAAAAATTGTTAGAGACTTGTCTTTACTATATTGAAGATATTGACCATAATCAAAAGAGCTTGTTGAGTTGATTTAAACTCAACTATAAGACAATATTGAAAGAAATTGCATGGCTTGCTAGAGTAATGCCTTGTAAAAATAAACTGAATAAAACACAATAAAATAAATATTTATTTATATTCAATCAATCAACTTTATTTAATTAAAAAAATATTTTGAGAAAACATAGCTAAGAAAACAAAACATAAAAAGACCTAGGATAACCCAATCAAATAAAAAAAAAAAGGATGTAAAAAGCATATAAAAAAACAATGAGCTTAATCTCCAATAAAATAAAAATTGAATGATAAAATCTAAAAAAATATTAGCTTAAAATAATGATAAAAAAAACAACCCCTAGTGAATGTCCTTAAGCTGAGTTAATTTTTCAAATTGAAATACATGAAATTCCAAAATAGAGTTAACCAGAAAGGTTAAATCAAAATCAACTTAATGTTAAAAAATGAAATTAAGTGTAAAAACAAAATACCAAACTAAAAACATTAGAAAAGCAAAAAATATCAACTTAATGTTAAAAAATAAAATTAAGTGTAAAAAAAAATACCAAACTAAAAACATTAGAAAAACAAAAATTAATGATAAAAAGAATAAGGATAAAACTTGATAAGAAAAAAATCAAGGATGAAATGACCAAAATATTTATTCTATAAGAATTATCTCAGATGATATAAATAGTAAATAAAAGAAAGTAAATTAAATAAGACAAGTTTTAAAAATCAAATGAGGATGAAATTGAAATAAATTTCAATTTTCATAAGTTATTCTAAATAATAGAAATATTAAACAAAAAATTAAGGACTAAATAAAAAACAAAGAGAAGTAAAAAAATAATAATAATCAAATAAGGATAAAATTGAAGCAATTTTTTATTTTCATAAATTATTTGAAATTAAAAAAAATATCAACCAAAAGATTAGGGATTAAAAAACAAAGAAAAGCTAAAGGGCTAATCTGAAATATTGCAGTGCACAAGAATCGAGAGAGAGAAAGGGAAAAAAAGGCAGAAAAAAAGAAAAGATGACTGTTGAAACCAAACCGAAGCTTTGTTTTCTACACACGCCATCTCAATATAAAGGAGATACAAAGATGAATTTGACTAATAATAGTATCTCAGAATGATATTTTTAGTTGTCAGAATCAACCACAAGCACCACCTAAAGATAACGAAGCAGTTGACATGTTGAAACATGCCCAACATGCGCTGGCATTTCTTTAATCCATTTAATTTTTTAAAAGACAAAGCTAACCCTCACTTTATCCACTGACAAAAAAAAAAAACCAATAGTATAATAACTAAAATCCAAAGGCAATGTTATTATTGTGTAAAAACAAAGGATAAGACACAAGCACTCCTCTTAGCCCGCCAAAGTTTTTAGTTTATAAAGCTAGATTGGAACTTTATTATACACTCTATAAGTAAAAATACAAATCTATTACTAAATCATACCAAACAAGCATTAACTTTAAGGATATTTATGATAATTTGCAGTGAAATTTAAAAAGGTAACTATCTATCTTTCCCTAAATTAATTTAAAAACATCAAAATACCCCATTGTAAAGACAATAATATCCTTATTTTTTATGCAAATGGTTTTTTTTTTTCCATTGGTAAAAAAGTGTATTGTGTCCTATGGAACAATAAATTCTCCTCCTTTTTTAGTGTTTATATGTACATACATATAAGAATGAGCATATTGTATTAATAAGATGATGAAAATTATAAAATAAAATAAAACGCTAGCTAGAAGCAAAAAAAACCATATAGACATGAAACCACATACAAGCACTCAACATTAATGTATACTAAAAGTTTTATTTTAATTTTTTTTTTAATTTCATCCGACAACATTAGATTTAATATGTGTTGCATTTTATAATTTCTTTTGACTTTTTTCAATGAAATTATTCCGATTTTATGACCTAGGTCGCTAGTTTTACGAGTTAATTATGTTGACTCATTTTTTATTCTAAATTTTATTTGTCTACTTTGGATTGATTAAGAATTCAGTTTTATAATCATAATTATTTTATGATTTACTTTCTATAGGGTTATTATGCTTTCATAACTCAGGTCATGAGTTTTATAGGTTAAACAAGTTGACTAGGGTTTTTTTTCCTTCTTTTAATTAAATATATATTTTTTTATTTCACCCTTTAATATTGGGTTGATTGAAAATTAAAATTTATAAATTTTTTTATTTACTTTCTATAGAGTTATCCTAGACTCCCCACCTAGATTTGATAGGTTAACTCGAGTTGATTTAGGTAATTGTTTTTTTCCTTTTTTATTTGATTTTTTCTCAATTTAATCCTTTAAAATTGTATTGATTGAGAATTGGGTTTCATAATATTTGTATTGGCTTTCTATGGGATATAACAGTTTTATGACCCGGGTCGGGGGTTAAACAAGTTGACTTGGATTTTTTTTCTTTTTATTTTTAGTTGAACTTTCTTCAAATTCATCTTTCAGTATTTGATTGATTGAGAATTATGCTTTTTAATTTATTTTAGTTTATATTATATAAGGTTATCCTGATCTCATAATCTAGATTACAATTTTATTTGGTTGACTAGAATGGTTTTTTGTGTTCTATTTTTAATTGATTTTTTTAATCTTATCCTTCAACAACGGATTGATTATGAATCAAATTTCATAACTTTTTTTATTATTTTTTTATGGAGTTATCCTGGTCTTATTTTCTGAGTTTAACAGGTTAACCCGTGTTGACACGGCTCATATTTCTAGATGGCTTTTTCTCAATTTCTTCCTTCAATATTTAATTAATTGATAATTGGGTTTAATAATTGCTTTTTATAGAGTTATAAAGGTCTCATGATTTAGATAGCAAATTTAGCAAGTTAACACAAGTTGATCCGAGTCAATCTAATATATCGTCGTATCAGTACTTAAAAAATATATCTTGATTTTTCTTTAGTTAAACTAGATTTTTATCGATTATCCGGGTTATCTTTAAACCTGCGAAATCAAGCAAGTCACATTAGATCAATCCTTTTTTAGTTAAACTATATTTTTATCGATTATCTAGGTTATCTTTAAACCTGCAAAATCAAACAAGTCACATTAGATCAATCATTGTATAGTTAAAAAAAAATTATACTAAAAAAAATAACAACACCTATATATATATTTTTATATCCAGAATAAATTTAATCTGATATGCAGCATAATGCAAGGACAATAGTCTATTGTAAGCACCAGACATGCAAAAAAAAACAAAGAGGATATGTCCATGAATAATATTAATACTATAATTGTTCTTGATTTGCTTATATTTTATGATGATCAATTAAGTAGTTTAAATTTTAAAATTATTTATGTGGGTTTTTTTGTTTAAACATATATATTAATTTAATAAATAAATTATAGAAGTCGTGTGATATAAAACTTTCTGTTTTTTTTTCAATAATTGGGATTTTCGTAAGCACAATGCTTTAATTCTCGAAAGAATAATAATAATAATAATTAAGTAAGTAAAAACAACAAGAATAAATTGAAAAAAATGGTGATTGAAAAGACAACAAAAACATAAGACATTGGATTATAATTTTAATAAAGATCATGGATCTCATGCAATGTAATTATTCATAAGTATCCTGAAAGTTCTTTGTAAGAAACATTATTACTCTTTCCAAAATATTAAATGAGTTATAATCATTTAATTTAATGTATATGACATGTAGCCATCAAGCTTCACATTGATGACGACCTCTCACCCTTTTTCTTTTTCAAAGGTGTACGTAGCTTATCTTACTCTCTCTCTCTCTCTCTTTTAAATACGGATCTAGATCTCACCATTAAAGCCATATGGTTGTGTACTCTTTTTTTTTTTTTTAATGAAATATAAATTATTTGTTTTCCTCGGTCATTATGGTTTCTCTCCTTTTGAATGAAGGCATGATGGGATGTCTTTGACTAGTGGGAGAGGAGATTAACAATAATTGACAAGTTTCTTTATCTTTCATTGTTGAGGTTTGTTCCCCCGTTTTGGCACAGTGTTATTTTTGTTTTTTTTTTTTAAATTATTCTTTAGCTAAAAAGAATATAAATTGATAGATTTTTAGGTGTGTATTTATGATTTTAATATGTTGTTTCTGAAATTAAAAAAATATTATTTTAATATATTTTTAATTAAAAAACCCGACATTATTAAACAAAACTCATTTATTTATTAGTGTGTGTAGAGTATGGGAATGATTATTTAATTGTAATTTATATAATATTAATAAATTTTCTATTTTAAAAAGAAAAAAAATGTAGTGAAATCTACCCATGAAATTCTTGAAGACCAATTTGGGAAAGCTTTCACTATAAATTAGCATTACTCTTCGTTCTTGAAGACCAATTTGGGAAAGCTTTCTCTATAAATTAGCATTACTCTTCATAAGTAAGTGTTAATAAATGCTTTATAATTACTAATATATATCAAAATGAAATTCATTATAGAAGTATTCGTAAATACTAAATAGTAGTAATCTTTTTTTTATATTGTTAAAACCAAATAAATTTAATT